CAATGGAAACATGGGTTGTACTCATCACTGTGGAAAACATTAACCATCAGTTTTTATTTATCGAGTGCTATCTAGGAATACTAGAAATCTTATTCACTAACTTGCATTAAGGCCGAAAATGTAATGTCCTTACAGGTTAGCTACATTAAAAAAAATCCATTCGACCCTTAGACTTTTTTATAAATTTATATTATTATTAGGCCCAATTTACCACAGAACCAATAGTGAACTTGTGAAAGTATCACATAATTTGGTCTAAGTTATACTTCAGGAATGTATAGAAAATTCCACTCCTTGATATGACCTAGAAGCGGGCCTAAGAAGATTATGTGCACCACATAGTTATGTGGGCTTATTTTGGCTTGTGAGCTTGGAATCAATGTAGATGTACTCTGCTATCCTGGTAAGAGTAATAACACCCAGAGGTTACATTTGGTTGCGAGGTGAGCAGAGTCAACCATGAAGTAAAAAAAACGCACTAATAGACAATTGGCACTTACACTTTACTGATGAATCATATTAACAATTACCAAGCTTGACTAATTAACATTTGGTGCGAATTAATTTACTATGGACGTATAAAGAGACTGTATTATCGCTTTTAAATGTTCCCGTTAATAAAGAAGGAATCAAATCATGCAGAGGTGTGTGTAGGAAACTCAAAAATGTGGGTTTCTTATTTTATTCTCTTATCATATTTGTAGAGTTAAAATAGCTGTCAGCGTCAATTATACTATAAAATCTTCATATAGGGCATAAATCGATTGTAGCATATGCCCTTCCATGTCCGTTACAGCTTCATGAATAAACTTCTCTTATTTACAGGTGTTTAGAGAGTAGTATGCAGTTTCTAACCGAATCATTAAGATTTCACATTCATGCCATTAAAAGTGTGTAGCGATAGCATTTTTCAATCGACGGCTAACTTAGCTTGTTGCCTCTACCTTTTAAGTTACTTGCCTCCCCAGTAGTGCGTTACTATTTTATTGACTGATTTGGAGTACTTTCTAATAACATTCTCCCGTAACTAGTTTAAAATATGGCTTATTTCAAACGATTAATTTCTTCATAATCTTTCATGCTACTATATAAAACTTTTGTAATCAAATTAGAATTTGATTTAATGAAGCCATTCCTTCTAGGGGATTCATCCTCACTTCAAATAATCGGATTATATACAAGTATAATTTTTCCCCGTATACAAATGGGGTTAGATTGACAGGAATCAACAGCGCCAATAATTCCTGATCTGCATTTCTGTTGTTACAAACTACCATAGCATCATCTACTTATCTATTACAGAAAAATTATTGCCAATATATTTTTACTTGTAAGACATGAACATGTTGATCGAGAGCCTTGTAGATTGTCTATCTCTACTATCTCCGCCAAGGAGTGATACTTGTTAAACTGTTACTGAATGTTCTTGCGTCTTAGTATTGTCTTGCGATTAACTTCTCTATTTTTGCATAGAGCAATCTGATCTGTGCATCACCTACCCTGTTTCAATCTTCACTAATTCTCGCATTCCTCTCGAGTTAAGTAATTCATTTTTGTTTATCCTTTCTTCATTTTATTGACTGTTTGTAAGCGTACCTTTTCCTTGAAGAGTATGTCTAGCATTGTTTATATTTGCCCTATGTGATTTATTAGGGAATCCAATCTCATTCACCCAAGCAATCACGTTTTCTTCGCAACTAAATATTTTCTGGCTTCCCCTTATCTCTCTCATATCTCTCATTGTCTTTCGTACATGACTTTCAGGGGCATCTGCACATTTAAGTACACATCTATGTTTTTATGTCTTGCATTTCTTGCTATGAACCTTCATAATAATCTTTAAATGTGTTTATTACCTGTGTGTGCTCACGGTCATTTATCGGAACGACATCTATTTGCGAACGCATGTGCACTCATGCCTGCTTGTGTGTGCTTGCATGTATGCATGCGTTTGTGTGTAATTGTATGTATTACAGAGAAAGAGAGATCGTATGCATCCCCATTTGTTTATGCCTCTTAACTTCGTTACACTTGCCTATAGGCTAGCTGGATTTGCATTGTTATTACAAAATAGAAGTATTCTCTGCATATCGACTTTGGAGGAGGAATCCCTGGCCATCCATATTTTGCCTCAAACTCCATCCCTGTTACATCCAAATTAGCTATTTTAATATTGCAGTTTTCGTTTGCTCCTTATGCGCGAGATTGATTTATATCTTAAATTAATTCATGCACTTTCTTCATTCGCTTGCATGCTCTACGATCTTGCCGTTTATTTGTATTAAGTTGTATAATCCAGGAAAATATTGTCTTACTTTATTGACTAATTGATTCCATTTTAATTTTATTAACTTCGACTTGACGCTTATTCAGAATTTGTATCATCAGGAAATAAATTGAGCTGGGCCCACTCTTTACGACTATCTCCGAAATATTGAACCGTAGTTATTCGTTTTCAAAATTTTAAAGAATTTTATGAGATATGAAATTGTGGCGCAGTCATTTCTATCGAAATGCCTCAAAGTACCACTAAGGCAGACTTTACACTAAGTGTAATATAATTTATTTTTCGAATTAAGTATTGTTTTTCGTGACTACCAGCAAATCAGTTATAAGATATATTAACCCAATTTCGTTCTATAATTTAACCTTTAACTTTCTAATTGGGCCCGTTATAGGGAGTTTCATATTCTTATTGACTTAATACCCCCTTAGTTTACGCCCCTTTAAAATTTTGCCCAACATCTCTACTTTACATATTACTTTTACCATAGTTCTCTATTTCGTCCGCAGAACATACAGTCTACCAACTGGCAATCAATGAGATTCAAACCTCCACCGTCAAACTCGGAGATCGGCTGGCGTGTAGAATTTCGACCCACCGAGCTCCAGCTAACCGACTTTGAGAATGCTGCCTTTGTCTGCTTTGTTGTCCTTCTCACACGCACCATCCTTAGTCTCAAACTTAATCTTATGATTCCAATATCGCGCGTCGACGAGAATATGCACACGGCGCAACTCCGAAATGCAGCCAAGACAGAAAAGTTTTTTTTCCGTCGTGGTGAACTTCTCACTACAGGTATTGTCATCCTCACTTCAAATAGTCGGAGTACCTACCTTATGCATATTTAAAGATGTTTAATATTTTAAGGGAACTCCTAGCTTCTGAGGACTCCTTACTTAATTCAATCTTTCTGTGTTACTGCTCCCGTAGTACCTGTACCGTTAACCATTCTGATATTATTATCGTTTAGTTCTCAGATCCATTTCATTACCTGGGCGTACTATACGGACGTTAATCTATTCGAACCAGGAGGTTCCTTCTTCCGTAGTATCATTTCTGAAGTCTGTAGCAACGCGTATCACGATCTATTTTTTCGAGTGCAGACCATCATGGCTACTCATGTTACATTCTTTGCCAATTCCATGGTCCAAAAGGGTCATAGACGAATACCATCTTGTGTTTAGGAGGCATTATTTTTATCGTAGCTATGAAGACCAAGAGGGTGTGGTCTTCTGTTTGCCCGCGATCTCCCTCAGCTTTATAGTGTTGGTTCGACCTCGATTTTGCAACTTGGCTGGAGTGTCGAAATATTTCGCAATATCTTCCTGACGTTTCAATCAAGTTGCTAAAGCAAGGTCGAACCAACACTATCTTTT